TTTCCCAGGGTGCATGGGCAGGTTTGATACAATTTGCCATGTTCGTCTTGTGGTGTTAATAATTGAAAGATACATTCAGTCCAAGGAAGACTTGGAGGAGGATTTTTGCTGAAGTTGGGTCCCTCAGGAGCTGTAAGAAGGTCTCTAGGCCATCATCCTCGCATAAAACTGTTTCGAAAGGGAGTATAGGGAGTCACTTGAGGAAAGTTACACAACTGAACTTGACCGGATCTTACAAATGTAAGATTCCGAATAGGGACTCAGTGGCATAGATTATCATAGATTCCTTTTCGGGGTTTGTGGTGGGAAAAGGAGCTGGCAAGGATGGCCCTGAAGGCAGGTAGTCGAAAGTTGCCTTTCAAGGCCGGTCCTTTTTTTGAAGCTGGGCAAAAGGGTTGAAGTTGGGACGGTGAAGATCGCAACATATCGCAACATCGGATCAACCCACCAGTCTTCATCCGTTTCCCTGACTTTTGGAGATTTGAATGGCTAAATTTCAATAAATTTCAGTGGCTGATCCGTCAAAAATGGCCAGGTGGGCTTTCAGATGCGCGAGGAGGGCCCCTCTCTGTTCGAGATTACGGGATGACGGTGGTACGCTGCGGATGGAAAAGAGCCCAGCCGCTGAACTCAGTGCATATCGGAGTCCCATGCATGCCTTTGGCTCGTTCGGAGACTTGTGGTGTTGAGAAGAGATCGTGCTGCATGCGTAGCATCACTGCAACTAAGCTTGGCATCCAAAGGTTTTGTTGCTCAAACTGCCTGACCGCATCAATTCGGCAGATGTCGACTGATCGGAAGTCTCACACAGAAACACAAGTTGAAGGAGTACCCAAACGAGCAGGATGGCGTGGAATCAATGTATGTAATATTCTGAGTCTAAGTTGATTCAGTGAGTTGCAGAAAAAGTGAACCTAGTCCACGTATTCATGTATTTCTATGTAGTGCACAGTATTGTGTAGTGGCGCTTCTTGATCATTGTCCAGCAGCCTGATGACACACGAAGCCAGATTGATTTCCGGCATTTTGGAGCCAACTGCAAGCGACAAAACAATACAAAACACATATTGTGTGCATAGTACGATGGCTACTAGCACTCTCTGGACCCTATCACTAGCAATGGCATGATGGGTTCGTGGGAGGTTTTGGGCGCTTGCGTTCCCTCTTGGAGCCAAAGACATTTGCCCTGTCCCTATGGATTTCCGGTGCGCCACCTTCAGGGACGAAACAAAGCACGCTTGTTCAGATTTCACATGATTTCACTGTAGGTCGCAGCTACACGATTAAGAATTGAGACACTGTTTCTATATGTTTGTTGTGCTTGATCATAGTTGAAGCAGTTGGAGCTTGAGGATATTCACTGGAAAGTGATTGGAAAGCCCGAGAAGCCTTTGGTTTTCTTGGCTCCCCAAAGTCACAGACATCAGAATTCTAGAATGATGGTGCCTTCAGTATACTTCACGAGTACCGGATCTAGATGTATTTGCTGTATATATATATACATACACAGTATATAATATTATGATAGAGCATAATCTGTTTACATTATGTACAGCTTGATTTTTGCATATTTCTGCTCTTATGCATCAAGGGCCAATGGTTTTTGCTGGTGAATTCCACCATCCAGCGTCCAAGCGACGCAAACTTTCAGGTGCCGCTGCCAGCCTCTGACTTCACCCTACCGGAGCAAGTCTCCTGGGCTGATGTGTCACTGGGCTGACATATCTTCTCGGAATGCTTCGGAATGATTAGGAATGCTGAGAAATACTTTAACAGTTGGCGTGTATTGAATGTAGTTGCAGCATAAACCTCCTCCACTCTGTTTGGACTGCAGTTCTTTTTTTGCCCGATATATCCATGTCCAAGCCTGCATATCTTGTCAGTGGTGACGTGCTAGAATCTTAGATCTTGGGGGCGCTGTGCCCATGTTCTCCTCTTGATGCTAGGAAGCAGAGCAACCAGCTTTGGATTAACTGATGACAAATGTTCGAATACGAATAGCACTGGAAATTTGAGCAGACATGCATACTCACGCGGGCCTTTGGCAAAGCTGGGTTTGCTTCCGCAGACTGAGAGATTGTCACAAGCGAATCAACATGGGTAAAAGACAAGGAAATGTGGCATGACCAGAGGAAGTCTTCTTTTGCCTTGGATTTTTTACATGTTTTACATGTTGGACACGTGGCATTTGGCTTCCTCCGAGGTGTGCCGCTCTGTTTTGCACCTTGCCCTTCGACTGGTCCCTGCTTTGGTTCACAGCCCTCCTCCTTTGCTGTGGCCTGCGGGAAGTCTTTCTGGGGCTGCTGATCTTCCTGGATAACTTGGTGATTCTCAGCTGCAAATCTCCAACGGCTCCAACATTCATCTATGCCATTGCCATAGTGAAGCAATGTACGGATTTGAATGGATTTAATAAGATGACATGATATGACATGATGTATGGATGTTAAGTTGGCCTGGAAAGTAAGATGGTTTCATACTGCCATGGCTTCAGGATCGTGGTGCTGCAGAATTTGATCCAGCAGCCACGGCCGAAGGAGAGCTGCCTCACTTCCTGCGGAATGCCCAGTGGTCATGCAGTGACTGGAATGAATCTGGACCGGAAAGACATGGAAAGACCAAGCTACCATGATGACCATGAAGACGGCAAGGCTGATGATGGTGGTGATGCTGATGATGAGGAGGAGACGGAAGGAAGATAAAGACATGATTGCGATTACAATTTTGTGCTGATGTGGTTGGTTTTGGTCTTTCGTTTGGTGGTGGCGGTAGTTTCGGTGGCGGAGGCAGAAGCCCACAAAGAGTGGACAGACTGAATTATATAGTTCCCTTTGTTTTTGGAAGCGTATTGCTGGTTGACACAATCAACAGCTTTCAGCCTCCCACAGCTGCTTCGGGATCAGAATGAGAAGTTCATTGCGACAATTTGTTCCAAGTCATTAAAACATCCAATGAAACAACAACGACCCTTCTGTGTGTCAACCTTTGCATATGAGGTGATTTGCACGTCATTGACGTGCTGGATATCTTGCGAGTCTGCACAAAGACTGCAGCACTCGACCCTTGACTTGCTAAGAGGTGCTGATGGAATCTGTCCCTGGCTGTCCTGCGATCAACCCATCCCTGAATCACCAGCATGTCAGCGTGGTTTCCTGCTCCAGTACAATTCCATGAGCCCAACTATGCACTTACAAGCACATGACATGTGCTGAGGGAATATGGGGATGAGTCAATAAGTCAATACCTATTATACAGTAAGATATTTTGACTCATTGGGATAAACATCCTTTGACAATCATTTACCAGCTATTTTTGATGCCCAGGGTTTTGACCATCTGAGGAAGGGAGTCATGGTGATTCTCCTCGCAGCTGGGCTATGTGCTGTTTTTTGCCTTTGCCAACAGTTAGTACACGGTATTGCGGGTATATTGCGGTATTACTATTGGTTCCATATTTGTTACTAATCACTATGGAACCAATGTTTTTTATAGTCTACAACACTGCTAATGTATTTTCATGACTGGATCAGTCCTTCAGCACTCTTGACTGAGAGCCTCGATTCGTCCCAGGTCATGGGAATCCACCTCCCAGTCCTTTGGGCCAAAGTCCACCTCCACGATCATACCACTACCCAGGCGCGGTGTTTTAACCAGGGGAGCCTTTGGGTGAACTGATCCGACTGATCCGTACTCAGATGACTTGCTAAAAAATATGACCAGGTGGTTTTGCCATGCTGGATGCCTCGAACCCTTCGGTTTTCGACATCCTCTCTTGAGTTTGAAAATCATGTGTACAGGCCAAACAACGCGAATTGATGAGGCATTTGCATGCATTTCACAGAAACTTATTATTTGTCTTATCTCTTGTCAGTCTCTTGTCCACCTTGTGATCTTTGCGCACGCGTCGCACGAGGTCTTTTCTGGTGCTATGGCAGGTGCCCTCCTTGGCTGTGGCTATTTCCTATTGCTTCGAAGGCGGCCCAGCAAAGACGACAAGTTTCAACACGAAAAAACAACAACTGTCTATGAGTCTATGAGTTTAGTTTGTTCACTTTTGTTATCAACACAACAACACTTTTGTTCACACAGGTCATCAACAAACTGTTCAACACTTTAGTTCTCCGTTGGGACGCTTAGAAGTTCGCCCCAAGGTGCAGCCGCAGCATGGCCTGGCTCTGCAGGGGCCTGCCAGATAACTTCCACAGAGAGGAGGTGGATCTGTGGGAAGATGTGGGAAGCAGGGGCTCCGGATGGGTCCGGACCTGGCTGTTTCATCCTTGGCCCGGCTGGGAAATTCTGATGGGTCGAGACTACCAAGTTTTAATATGTTTTAATGGTTTTCATTTTCTTTCTCTGATGGGAAGATCATGGAAGATCAGCAATGAGGGCGGGATATGAAGAACGATTCTATAATTAGGGGATGTTCCTTGCATTGGCAGATTGGATTACTGGAGCGGAATCTGAGGGTGCACCTCGTTTTTTGCACTTGGTGTGCAAAAAAAAAGTTGAGACTAGCTCAGTCTTACAAGGTTTCACATTTTAAATTCATTGCTGCAGTTGCTCGCATTTGTTTCAACTGGAGCTCGTTACCACCCTTCTCACCGAATGGCGGACATCCCTTTGGACCTATAGAATTCAAACCCACTCCATTGTGCTACTAATATATATGTGCTACTGTTTTTGCTCCTTATGGTTTTGCTACTGTTTTTTTTTCCCTCGCTTCTAGCTTTCTTGGACTCCAGATTCTGCCAGGATGGATACGTTACTCTTTGTGGCTGATGGTCCTGATGGAAAAGAGATGAGCGACTCATACATGGCAAATGATGCGTTACTGCGCAAGCAAGAATTCCCCAAGCCACAGTTTTTGTGTGCAGCAGAGTCTTCAAACAGAACTATCATGATTGTCATGTGCGAGTTCGGGGCAATTACTTTGATCACTGCTCATGGGTAGGATGCCGGTGTGCTGACCTAAGGCTTCCATGTTGTTCCCATGTCTCGGTGTGGCTCAAGTGCTCCTGGCTTTGGAGACGGAGTCTGCTAGCTCGAGGCGAGCCAAGACAGTTTCCTCTGGCCAAACCTTTTGTGCATGGCTGTGATTCTCGAGATGATGTGCTCAACGTTGTCTGAGAGAAGATTTGCCAACGTATTTGAAGAATCGCCAAGAGTGAGTCTGCAGATGAGACATGCTGAACAAATTCGATGCCTCGCGCATCTTGGGTTGTGCTCAGAAAGAGAGAGAGAGAGAGTTTTGAAGTTGCTTTGCATTTACCAGTTGGTATGATCGTTTTTGCCTCAGCATGTTCAATAAATTGTTTTGATCTGTTCTTGTTCTGATTGATATCGAAGTTATCAGTTTAACACAACAGAGCGCCTGCGTTGCCAGTTGAGGAATCTGTGGTCGTTCACCTTGGCCGGACTCTCTCCGTTTGCTGGAGGAGTTGAAGATTGCGAGACTACAAGCAGATGTTGTGGTATTGGGTGCTTGCATCAATGCGTGTAAGAAGCGAAGTTCTTGGAGTTGGGCCTTGGAATCTTGGTTCAAGCCTTGTGGATCAGGAAATTGGCGCATGATTTTTTTTTGATTGTTAGTCCAATGATAAACTTGCGCTCATGATACTGTAGTTTGGGCCACGTGTAGTGAAGTTTGGTGTTGCTTGTTGCTTGGCTCCCACAGGAACTCCTGACCTGTACCCATTTGGCCAATGGGGCTGGGGCCTCGCGCATTTGCTGCAATGCAGTAATCTCGAGTCTGCGGTTGCGATGGCAGCTAGGCTGGAGCTTCCTGGAGCAGATGGTACAGCTTCTTGGCTTGCGACAAAGGGAAGTGGAAATCATGGTCATGTACAACTTGAATGTTGTATCCCTACTACAGTGGTTTGGAGGGTCACGGCTTAGGAGGGTTGAAACTTAAGACACAACGGAACATGCATGCAGCCACCCAGTGGAACAGCAGTTCCAGATAGGTCGATTTTCCCAAGTTTCAGCTAGGAAAAGATGCGCATTGTGCTCAGTTGCTGTGCTTCAAGTTTCTGAACATAAAATGCGTGTAAATAGAGGTAAAACATGGTACCTGGGAACATTCACATTTCCTTCATTTGCATCTTGAAGCGTCATTTTGTCCGTGACCTTCTTGGCCAGAAGGTCATTTGAAGGTCATTTGAAGGTCATTTTGATAGAAGCCATCTGCAACATTTTCCATCACCATTTTTTTCTCGATGGACAGTTCCCCCATTTAGTTCGATTATTTTCCTGATTATGATCCCAGCAGCTAGAACCAAAGGTTTCGCTGAGGTCAGCGACGTCGCCCAACGAGATCAGCTTCAACGCCCTGGGCTCCGCACAGATCGCACCCTGGCGTGGCGTCCTGGGATTGCTGCGGGGCATGCGGAGGTGGGGACGACCGGATGAGATCAGTGCCTGGGATGCCTTGGATGGGTTGGGATGGGTTGGGTTGGATGTGGGGAGCTCTGTTTATGGTCCTTAGTGTGGATTAGTGTGGTCAGTATGAAAATGATTCGTCGTGATTAGTATATTACGAAAGCCAGCCGAATGCTTAGGCTGCAGGGTCTGTATAAGGCGAAGCTATGGCGAAGCTAATCTAGGGGTGTGGGGGTGGGGGCTCCAGAAGTGCTCCCTTTTGGAAGGGGGAGGCCGGAATTGGGTGGGGGAACGGGCAAAAGAGCGGGGGGTCAGGTGTATCATGATTACAGGAGTGGCTTACCAAGGGTGTTATTCCAAGAGTGTCTCACTAAGAGTGTCTTACTAAGAATGTCGCTCCAAGAGTGTCCTTGTAAGAATGTCTCACTGAGAGTGTCTTACCATAGGGGTAGAACAATGGTTAGTGGTTAATCGTTAATGGTCTAACTGGTAGTTTTTTACCTTAATAATGCTTGGCGATAACGGTGACATGTCGTACCAAGAGTGTGAAGAGTGTCACTCCAAGAGTTTGGATGCTCTTTTGGATGTGACAATGGCGTAAACAAAATAGTCACAGACACTGACTGTGTCACATGTTAAACCTGATTCCCCCTGTGTTTTTTTTTAAATACGAGGACTCACGTTCAAAGGGAGACAGCGTTCTTTGTTTTCTTGTTTTGTGCCTTTTGTTGTGGTGTATTAGCTTTGTTGAGTACCATAGTATATCCTCCTCATAGTTTACACTCATACATACACATCTACATGTATACATTATATACATACATACGTAAACTCGTGCTGTCCTTGCCGCTGCAAGCCGCGGGGGCTGGCTTTCGTCCCGCCCTTCTCAGGTGGTCAGTGGTTTGGTAATGGGTCATAATTCAGATTTTAGCATGTAGACAATTTTTAGACAACTATGAACTTTTGGAGAAAGCGATCTTGAGAGAGATAGGTGTTGCACAGTGGCCAGCGAATGTGCCATGGCCAAACCCTCCAAATGAGAGTTGTTTATTGGGGTTGTTTATTCGATCATCCCTGATCATCCATGATCCATGTCATGATGATTATCATTCATCATGATTCATCATGATTCATCATCCATTGAAAATTTCACAGCTTGCTTGGCATATCTCATATCTCCACCGAGGCTTCGATACAGTGGCGACTTGCTTGGCATCCGCCCACGCCTGGAGTCGAGCGCTGCAGCTGTCCAGCAAAGCTGAGACCGTGGGGCAGGAAACTCCCAGCTGGAAACAGGCACCTTGGCAGCTGGTGGCACTGGAAGGTTGCTTTCAGAGTGTTTCAAAGTTGGTGGGATTCTGATGATATTTTTGCAGGAGAAAACCATGGGGAGTAGGTACCTCGAAATTCAATGAAATTAAGTTGCCTGAAATGTGTTTCTTTCCCATTCGCGAGGCCCATCATCTCATGGGAACACTGGGTCGTGAAGCAGATAGCCTTGCTTTCAATGCGAGCCTCAAAGCTATGGCGGCAGCTGTGGCATGGGGTATGGTCGTTCGGTGCTTCAGCAGCATGACTCAGAAGAGAGTAGTTCTGGACTGGAGATCTCGCATGCCTATCTTGAGCTCATGCAGCCGTGCCCTGATGTGGGCAAGAAGCTACGATTTTTTGCGGCAGCAGCAGCTAATCAAGATCCGGCCAGATGAGATGGCCATCTGTGCAGCGATGAATGGCAGTACCAAGGCCAGCTACTGGAAGAATACACTAAAGTCACGAAACGCAAAAAAATGTGGCTGTGCCTACACTATTGGCAGATGTTGTGAAGAGTGGAAGTATTTGTTGATAGACCAAGAGAATGTGCGTGAAAAGGCGCGTCAACAGTGACTGAAAAATGTATTGCTTCGCATGTTTTTCTGTTGATGCGTTGATCCTCATATTGAACCAATCTCCAACTTTGATCCAACTTGGTGATCTTTTGTGGCCAATGAATGGCCTGTGGCCAGGCTCAGTGCTGGATCCAAAGCTTGCAGTTTGGCCCAGCTGTGGATGACTTGGATGACTTGAGCCTTGCTGCTGTCTGTGGCGGTGATGTGTGGCGGGCGGCCATTCAGAAACAGCTCGGCTGGGCGAGCACCATAGCAACCATGATGACTTGTGACATGGCTGAAGAGGCTGAGGAGGGCAATTTCGATGCAAAAAATATGTTTACATGGCAGGCTGTGCGATGGACAACTCAAGACACACTCAAACTCCTGTGTGAACTAGTCGGGGTGGGTGACCAGCCAGTTCTTGAGAATATCAAGACCCGTCACAAGTTTTATTTCCTCTTCTTGATTGTTGGTTTCCTGAACCTACCCATTTCACCTCCTCAGACCTTTGTGTTAAAGCGGCTTCATTCCGTGGCTTTTGCGCCATTCTTTCCTTCAAGCTTTTAAGATCTTTTAGGGTTTGTTCTCATTCACGCAAACCCTCTTGATGAGCTCAAGACGAAAAGAAGGCGGCATGGCTCAAAACATGAATTCTCCAAAATGGATGGTTTAGACAAGTTTAATGCCAATGAAAACTAATGGTAACCACAGTAAATCCCTCTACATAAATCCCATGATGTCCAGTTATATTATATATATATAATATTATTCAATTTATTCATTCATTTATTTATATTGTGTATATATATATATATCAATCCGAAATCCCCGATATAATTAACGCATATTTCTGTAGATCCATTGGTCCCCCAATTTTGACCCCTCGGATGCCCAGGTGACTCTTGGGATTCTGCCCTTTCTCTACTTCAGCTCACCAAAGACCAGCGCTTGGCAGTTGGTCCTGGATCACTTGGTGCGGCAGCCACGGCAGTAAGCGTTACAGCTAAAGATGCTGAAACCCGGCGATGGCCAAGTTGATCCAGGTTGATCCAAGCGGACCCCGACCTCTGTGGGGATGTTTTTGGGATGATCTGTTGGTGGGTGGTAGGACTGAGACAAGTTTGTTTTTGTTGGCGGAGATCCGACTGGTGGTGAAATTGTGATTTGATAAACGTGTTTCTGTTCAGCTATTCACCTGTTTCTGTTCTTCCGGAAACTGCGTAATTTAAGAGCACAGCGAAATGTTGCAAAAGTCTGCCTGAGCATTTTCAGCTGTCGACAAAGTTCTGAGCCACAGCTCTTTTCAACTTAAGTGCTTGGAGGATGGCCGGAACCACCTTATTTCGTGTGGATATCCTAAGCGGTATATATTTGCATCTATCCATCCTATCTATCCATCTGTCCATCCATCTATCGATCTATCCTATCTATCCATCTGTCTATCCGTCTGTCCATCCATCGATGTATCATATCTATCCTATCTATCCTAGCGATCCTATCTATGCCATCCTCCAAAATTCACGGCCTTTTTCCGGGCAGCATCCCAGGACTGGCAAGTGGCCTTTCTCACATTGTCCCTGATGATCTCAAAAGAACTCGGCATTAATGATGTTGCTTGGCAAGTGGTTTGTATTGGCATGTTCTTGTCCGAATACATAAGGGGTTTGTCTGAAAATTGGCCCCAAGATTGATTCAATCATGTTTTGGTGGGTGCTTGTTCATCATTCTCCCTACTACTCCAATCGCCTTTTGGAGGTTGCATGGTGTAGAGATGGTATGACGTAATATTTTGCGGATCACAATCTATTTGCCACTTGTCTTGATGTTCACCACGGTACCAGGGTTTTGACCCATTTCCACATACCGCTGGAAGTTTGCACACTTTGAACTTCTGCCACAGATGCGGCTTCCCAAACTTTCAACGGCCAAGGTCAGCTTTGGCAGTGCCATTTCCTCATTGCGCAATGCTCGACTTTGGATCACAGCCCTGCAGCTTTTGAACAGCATCTGGCCGCAGAACCTATTCGTTTGGATGTTGGATCAAGTTTCAGACAATTTTCCACGTGTCCGCTTTGTCATAGATTTGATGCGACCAAGGTATGCCTCAGAGATGTTTGCAAGCCACTGACGCCAGCCGCAGTGCTGCTGTGGCAGCCACAGTGGATGTGTGGAGAACAGCTTTGAGCCTCGGTCCGGTGCCAGGACGAGCAGAGATCTTTGGGATCAGATCCCCATGGCAGATCTCCCTGCACTTCTCCCAGATGCATGTGCCATGGATAGCATGGAGAAAAGTTGGACCATACTGTGCCATCTTATACCCGTGTTGAGGACGGTCATACCATCATGAGTTGGGAATTGTAGTGACCGAGAGATTTACTAAGCAAAGCTCTGCTTGTGCATTGTAGAGCCAACAAAGGTGGAAGTCGCCCTGTTCCACGGGGTGCACAGGACTAGTGTCTGTAGCAAAGGCAAGAAGAGCTAGGAATAGAACTAGTCGGTTTTTGGCATGGTTGTCGTCATGGTCATGGTTGCGATTGTGGTGATTACATTTAATTGCTTAATATTGCTTATATATAATTGGTTGTGACTACATAAAACTATACATATATATAGAGTAATATATACATACATATATATAGTATAATATACATATGTAATAAGATATATGTAATATTACAATATGTATATATATATACATATCATTATTTATCATAATATTTGTTTTTATGTAATATATATATATAATATCTTTTGCTGTAATATATATATATATTCACATATTATATTATATTATATCATATGATGTTATATTATTCTTTTATTGAATTATATTATATTGTATTGTATTACATTAAATTGTACTACATAAAAATATATTACATTGTATTGTATTAAAATTTGTCCTAGTTTACCATATTATATCATATTACATCATATCATATTATATATATATTTTAACAATATAAATTCATAGATGCATATACAGTATATATATATATATATGCATATATATACACATAATAATGTTATATATATATATATATTTACTGATACTATGGAACATTTATTTAATAGAATCTAGTATAATATAATATAATATATCATAATATTATATAATATTATAATATCTTGTCTTGTATTGTATTATATTATATTATACTATATTACTAATTATGTATATATATATATATGTATTATTAATCATCTTTCTCGCTCTCTATATATATCTCTATATATATATATGTGAATATATGTGGTTTTATGCGATTATACGTCACTATATATATATACACATATCTGGTTGTATAATCATGCGTGATTATATGTGATTGCATGTGATGATATGTAACTACAACTATATGTGGCTATATGTGGTTATTTGAAACTATATATGACTATATGTGATCCTTTGTTACTATTATATGTGACTATATGTGATTATATGGGATTACACATATCTATATATAACTCTGATTAAATGTGAGTATTTGTGATTGTAAACACTGTCTACATGATGGCTTCGTTTTCTGTTGCTTCCCGTGCTGTTGATAGGTTGTCCGGAGTCCTTTGGACGAGATCAGCAGCCACGCATGTTTGGCGGCCCTGGAACTGGATCCGGGAGATTGGCAGTTGCCGTTGCAGCTGTTTCGCTGCTGGGGGCAGCTCGGGCAGCCGAGCAGTCGAGCGTTTGGATCGTGCTTGAGTTGCTGCCACCAGTCCATACTGCGGCTCCAAGGAGTGCCAAGGAACAACTGATTTGGGCCTGCGAGAAGGTTTTGAGGTTTTGAATCGGAGGTTACTGTGACTCTTATGGCACAGAGCTCGAAACAGATGCCATTTGTGACATGCCCCCGCACTTCACGGCCTTCACGGAGCAAATAAAGTCTGATTAAATCATATTTGCTCCAGGACTGACAAGAGCTATGCATGTTGATGTGCGCATGGCCATCATGGGCAGTTCTGAAAGAGCTGTAAAATGCAGAATGGACGTCCATCAGCTCACACCGTTCCTGCTGAAACGGTATGCGACAAATTGGTTTTCATTTAGACAATTTTCTGTGGCTTCAGAGATATGGGGAGCTGGCCTAGAGGAGATCAAATTGAAATGGACTCAATTTGGTTTACTCTTCGATTAGTCTCAAGACAGCTCGAGAAACATCTCCAGAATGTTCTTGACCCAATGCTCTTGCCATGAAAAAGGCAATCAATGGCTTCAATGTCTTGTTGCCAACGGGTTTCAACATGTTATCACAACGACATGGGGCCTTCTCGAAGTTTGACACCCTGGTGTATCCCACGGGTATCCGCCATTTGGAGCCAGACAGAGTGCCACTGCTGTGGGCTCCTGGCACTTTTCGCGCACTGGAATTCTCTTTTGTTGGGGTGCATGCTGATGCAGTAAGAATTTTCAGTTTTCTGCTATCCTGTGGAACCAAAGGTAAAGACTGCATGTCTGCATGTCTTCGGCAGTTTCTTCGAAATGTAGTGATTGTCAAGAGTAGTAGAGCTAGGCTTGTTTCATTGTTTAGTTGTTGCATTTCATCAAACAATTCCGAGTTGAGGAAAATCACAGCTGAACTGACCTGGTTTATTGTAGCCAATAGGAGCCATGCTTTGATGTCCCTTGATATATGCAATGTGAACGCCATGCTAGCCTGCTCCTGGGGTGCTGCACAGGGTCCCATCAAGTGACAACATGCTGGCAGTTGTGCCGCTTGGTGAAGCTCAAACAAAGCAAGTAGGGCAACAAAAACAGTCCCAAACATCCTGCATCAGAAGAGTTCTCTTCAGAATTCGGAAGTCACTTGCCGAGAGCTCGAGAAGCTCTGTTTGTGTGGAGCTCGTTGAATGTTTGAGAGTAAAAATGGAAGTTGGGTAAGCTTTCAAACCTTTCCAGAGACTCTGGACGGATTCTGCAAGCTTTTTTTCCGTCTCTTCACATCCGCTTGCCTGACGCCATGTGACGCCGCACTCTGCGGCGCTAAGCCTTCGTGCAGCAAGGATTCGTCAGGCCATCCTTTCTGGAACATGCAAACTCAATCATTTCTTTGATTTGCTCCTCCACCAAACATCAAGCCTGCTCAGCCTGCTCAGCCTGCTCAGCCTGCTCAGCCTGCTCAGCCTGCTCCATCTATTCGATGAAGAACCCCACATTTTTCTGGTTTTCATTTTGCGTTCCCATGTGGGATTGAACCATGATGTAACACAAAAGCGTCAGAGGTCGAAGTTGTGTTTTCTTGGGTGTGTCCGTGTGTTCATCTCGGATGACTGGCTGGAGACCGTTGTTCAACCTCAGGATGACTGCCCACCTGAGATCGGGCCAAACCATGTCGGGAGACCTCAGGTGAACGGCTTGCGATCAGAAAAGGTGCATAGTTGATTAATGGCTTGTCAAATGTCAGACAAGCCCACAAACATACATTAGGGGGACATGAGGTTTAAATGATGCACAGACCAACATGATTTCTGGGACCCTTTTGCACTCAAAAGCACCCTTTGTTCACACTTGCTCTGTCAAACCCGAAGCGGGACCCAGATTGAAAGACTGTTGGGAGCCACCACCCTCGCTGTAGTTCGAACGCAACTGCCTACACTTTATCGGGCTTGTGCAGTTTGATTTTGACCTTTGAAGACAGAAAAATCGTTTCGGGTCACCGTGAGGAGCGCTTCTTCAACCTGTTTATCGTTTATCAGTTTCAAGTTGACACACGCACACACACACATGTGATGGTTCATCATCATTTTCAGTGGGTAAGTACCCCATTGGCATTGCCATTTGAAGCCTTCCCTGGCGTTCTCTGGCGTTGGTCTAAGGACTGGCATGGTGAAGAGCTACAACCGACGAGGGTTTGGCTTCATCATGTGCCAGGAATGGGTGAGTGATATGTGAAGCAGTCGCCAGAAGTTGGATGGAACATGCATTAGTATGTATATACATTATATTTAACTATATACAATATATATAATTATATACAATGCGTATATATATATATTTATATATTTATACATATATATATATACATATACACATTAAATTGTAAATACATATATTACGTAGATGTACGTATACATATATATATATATATGTACACATACATATATATATATATATTATACACATATATCATTTTATATTATATTATATCATATTGTATTATACTATAATATATTGTATTATATCATATTATATTATATTGTATTATATTATATACGATATATGATATATTATATATTATATATGATACATTATATATTATATATAATATATTATATATTATATATTATATATACATATTATATATTATATTATATATCAAATTATATATTATATATTATATACTATATATATATTATATATTATATATTATATATTATATATTATATATTATATATGATATATGATATTATATATTATATATTATATATTATATATTATACATTATATATTATATATTATCTATTATCTATTATCTATTCACGAAAGGTAGCCTAGGCTACCTGAGTTCTATGTACTTTAGTACTAGTTTAGTACTGGGGGAGGTGGATGTTCCTTTCCCGGAAATTGAGACCCGAGAGTCACGAACGGAGACTTAGGGGGGGGGCCCGTAGGTTCGACACTTGGAGGCTATATCGCAGGCCAAGCCCGTATCATTTTAGAAAGCGAAAGTAAAGAAAGTAAGAAAAAGCAGGCGCAAAATGGACGCAACCAGCCGCAAAATAGACGTAACCAACCGCAGAGAAACAGCACAGAGCAGCGCATCAAGCTCACCAAGTCGATGGAGCCGACGGAGCCGACCGAGACGACCAAGCCGACCAGGCCGACCAAGCCGACCCAGCCGACCAGGCCGACCAGGCCGACCAAGCCGACCAAGCCGACCAGGCAGACCAAGCCGACCAAGCCGACACAGCCGACCAAGCCGACCAGGCCGACCAGGCCGACCAAGCCGACCCAGCCGACAAGGCCGACCAGGCCGACCAAGCCGACCAAGCCGACCAGGCCGACCAAGCCGACCAAGCCGACCAGGCCGACCAGGCCGACCACGCCGAGCAGGCCGACCAGGCCGACCAAGCCGACCAGGCCGACCAGGCCGACCAGGCCGACCAGGCCGACCGGGCCGCCCACGCCGACCAAGCCGACCAGGCCGACTAATAGGCCGACCACGCCGACCGGGCCGACCAGGCCGACCAAGCCGACCAGGCCGACCGGGCCGCCTAAGCCGACCAAGCCGACCGAGCCGACCAGGCCGACCAGGCCGACTAATAGGCCGACCACGTTGACCGAGGCGACCAGGCAGACCATGCAGCCCGACCAAGCCAACCAAGCCGACCAAGCCGACCAAGCCGACCAGGCCGACCAAGCCGACCAAGCCGACCAAGCCGACCATAGACCGACTCCAGGCCGACTAAGCCGACCAAGCCGACCAGGCCGACCAAGCCGACCAAGCCGACCAGGCCGGCCAACCACAAGGCCGACCCCGCTGCATACCATACATATAGGCCTCGGGGCTCAATAGATTTGCATGGATCAAATTTGGCCCGGTGTTTCTCATGTGAGCGATGAAGTTCTTCCCGCTCACCGGCGGCCACATGCATGTGTCCAGCACGGGCACTACTTTATAACTTTTTGCCGCTGTTGTCCGGCCCGTCAGTCTGGCCGCATTCTGCCGGGTTCCACATTTGATGGCAGCAGTTTTGCCACAAATAACTTTTGTACGTTGGTTAGCAGGGCCCCGCGTGGTGACTTCCAATGCTCGCTCCTTGCAGTGGCCTAAAAGCATACCAATGATATGGCCCAAACTAGTCACTAGTTGGTATCAACAATCCCGAAAAAGGTGGTTCGAAGATGTTCGAAGCATGTATATTGAATTGCAATCCTAAGGGGCGAGTTCTGCACAGTCCGACTTGCTTCGCCGCGGCCTTCTCCGTGCTTTGAACTGAACAGAAATTGGTTGCCTACAGCATCTTAGCCCAATGTGCGATTCTGCACACGTACTGGCATGCATGTGAGGAAAGAACTATTCTACAACTGTCAACTCCCGCTAAAGACGGTGAACAGGGCAAGCCACAGTCACAGGTCACCGACGCGCATGCGTAGGAAGGGTTGTCATAAACAACAAGCTAGCCGAACAAATCCACAAATACCTTGATAAGTTTATAAAAATGCAGGTCACCTCTATATGGACAGAATCTAGGGACAGAAAACACCAACAACACAAAGCAAAGTGGCAAAGTTGCAGTAGTCAATCTTGGATGCTCAGCGCCGAAGGCCAGGAGGATGGGACGGACCGAGCTTGCCCAACGATGGGTAGGCGGTGCACCATGAGACCATACGATAACATTGTTGCACACAAACGTACGTGTTTACATACATGGCTCCCTCATCTACTCCTAGATCCTCGTCGGATTGCTGAATTTTTGCCTTTAAGAGAATAATGGCCTTTCTGATTTGCAGGCTGTTTTTTCAAAGCAGCGGCTCTTTCCATGAATTCATTTAGATCCATCTTGATTCATTATGATCCATCTTGATTTCATTAAGATTCATCTTAAGTTCGCCTTGATTCTAGATCTGAACCATGATCATTCCCTCGGCACAGCCCCATCCAAATCCCATCGCTCTGTTTCATTGGTCCCATTGTCCCATCGTTGATCATAAATTATTCGATCATGAAATATCGATCATGAAGTATTGATCATGAAGTATCGATCATTAAGTATTGATCATGCATTGTTTGATCATGGGTTATCGATCATGGATTAGTTGATCATAAATTCTTCGATCATGAAGTATTGATCATTAGTTATTCGATCATGTAATATCGATCATGAAGTATTGATCATGAATTGTTTCATCATGGGTTATCTGATCATGGATTAGTTGATCATAAATTATTCGATCATGAAGTATCGTTCATTAATTATTCGATCATGAAGTATCGATCATGAAGTCTTGATCATGAATTGTTTGATCACGGGTTATATGATCATGGACTATTTGACCATGAACTATCTGATCAAACACTCATGATCGATCGGATAAACTATTTCCGGTATATGATCATGATCGAAATGTTTGATCGTGAATTCCATGATCGACATGTTTGATCGTGAATTCCATGAGGTACCTCATATTTTATTACAACTATACGGTTTTTCCAGCGGCGTCTTTTCCCGGGTTTTCGGTGTCTTTTCCTGGGGTAGCGGCGTCTTTTGCCGTCCAGCCAATTTAAGAGATCAAAAATGAATGTATCACTTCAG